GTAATACAGCGCCGCGTCCCCGAGCCGGGGCCGGGCGAGACGCAGAATGCTGGAGCGGCGGTCTGCCGACACCCAAAGCTGCCCCTCCGGGTCCGGCACCTCCTTGAAGCCTGTAACGGCGCTGACGAGGAATGTAGGGGCTCGGCCCGGGAGCTGACGGTACCACTGGATGTTATTGGCCTGTATGCTGGGGTGTGAGCAGGTGATGTTGATGCCGGTGCCCTCGCTGGTCTCTGCCGCCGGCTCCTGTTGTACCTGGGCTTTGCTCACAGCCGCTGCCGAGAAGAAAAGAAGAAGCAAACTCAGAAAATCCATTCTCTCCAAAACGCAAAAATCCCAAACCACGATTTTCATGGACGAGTAGGGAGGTGCACGAGGTCGGAGTGAAGCTGGACGGACAGAGGCTACAGCGGCCCGGCTCCCTCGCCAGCCCCGCAGTCCGGCCCCGCGCACCCAGGAGCACTGCGGCCAGCCCCGCCAGCCCCGGCTCTGCTCCGCCCGCGCCTCCTCCTCCCCACCGCCGCCGCCAGCTCCGCCCCGGGCTGCTCCAAACCACCTCGCTGTCTTTCGGATGTCCGGCAGTGGCATCTACAGACATCTATTCAAAAACACATCGTTGAAGAATTGAGTGGGGTACAATTTACCAGTAGTTCCCTGATTTCCCTTTCTCAATCTTTCCTATGTACGAGGACCATGCTTCAACTGTCAGAACTCCTGAGCAATGACAGAGAGCTGCATCGCAATGACATTACTCAACCAGAAACCACTGGATGCATCTTTTGTCATCTCATGCACAGAAGTATGCCCAATTTTCATGATGAAAATATAGGAAAAAGAAGCTTTCATTATGTTAGACTTAACTGCTCATTATTTCTGCTGTCTCATGGTCCAATGGACATACAATCTCCTTAGCTATCTTTTTGCCGCCAGATAGGACACTTTTCTCGCTATGCCTTCCCAGCAACTTTTCATCTCAGATGGAGCTGTGGTCTTTCTGACGGCATCCCTGCATCCTCTTCTGAAGCTGCATGTCTGTGACTAAAGCAAGGGCCTCTTTCCTGTTCCAGGTTATCACCACCTTCCAGTCTCAACCATCTTAACTGTCTCTCTCGATGGCCTGTTTGCCATGGTCATGATGTGCCATGCCATCCTTGCTTTGTGATGTTCAGGCTCCAGTCTTAGACTGTAAATCAATTGACCATGAATCACTCTAAGACTCAAATTGGAGTGTTAGGAAGCAGAAATTCTTTATTTTTGGTGCTGGATGCATGGGGGATGAGCTCTACCTATCATGAATATGTCACACAAGAGATATGCAACTTACATTCATTACTAATGTTGCACATGCAAACATGTTCCCAGATGGTGCACAGATTTTCCATATTTCCCCACAAAATCATGAACAAAGGGTTCCACCTTGTCGCACGCGTTCAGCCTCTTTGTGATGGTGGTCCCACAGCCTTCTGCATGAAGTCAGTAATCTTCGGCACTGTGTTCACTGCATGAACCCTGTCCTCACCATTGCTCAGTTAGCTCCTTGCCTTGATCACACAACAATTGCATTCACAATAGTAGCTGAATTGAAGTGGAACTTCCAATATCTACTTAATTCAAGAACTTAGGTAGATCATTGGCACAAGACCTCAGATTCTTCCTGTTTCCTAAACAGACTCCAGAGTATCCATCGAGGAGCATTGCAAGCTGGACAATATTGCCACAACTTGTATCACTAGGAAAAATATAGACATATGTGAAGGTGGTCAAACACTGGATCAGGCTTCCTGTAGATGTGGATGATGCCCTGTGCTTGTCAGGGTTGACAGACATTTTGATAATGCTTTCATGAGCATGCTTTTCCTTGTGGTTAGCATTAACGACGTCAGAAAGTTGAACCTGATGATATTTGAAGGTGCCTTGCAGTTCCTTTCCTCTCCATTAGCTCTGTTAGCAGGAAGACACAGATTAACAGAATCTTTTGGTATCCTGAAGTGCCCCTGATGTGACCAGAACACATGTTGTTGCATGGAACACACGTGTCACACAAACAGCTGCTCATGCACATACGTGTGGAATCATGCAAAACCTCTGTACCCAGGCAACTGAAAAAATTCAGCACACAGGCCCTGGTTGTCTTTTCACACCAATGCCTGACTAATCACGTTGATATCGTTTGCCTCTGCTCGATTCTTCCAACATGTGAACCGAGTGTTCTGCCCACACTGATGTGCGCTGCCTGGAAATGCTTGGGTTTTTCTTCCTGCCACTCAACAGATGCCTTCCATGAGCAATGGGAGTGACATAAATCAGGATGTGACAAGTAGCAGTAGAGGAAAAATAACACACAGTCCATAACATTAGCTGGGATGTTTTGCATTCAAGAGTTTCTTGTCATAAAATAATCACTGCTTCAAGGGATGCCTCTGGAAATGGGGCAGCTTGGGTCCACTACAAAAGCCAGCCCAGCTCCTTGCAACTCATCCACTTCTCCTGCCTCCTTCTTTCTGGGAACCAGGTGAGTGTGTGAAGATCCTTCCTTCTGCAAACAGAGTTTTGAGCTCAGTGGAACTCTCAGCTGTTATCAGCTGTGTTCCGTGCCTGACTCTGCTTGTCATGAGAGAGGTGAGGAGAATGTTTGTCATGAGAAGAGGGTGGGCCTGTAAGGAGACGTCTTGTGGGCTAGGGTCTAGGTAGTAGCTGAATACGTTCCAGTGGCTTTCATTGGGCTCTGTCAGGATGAGACCAAGAATCCCATCGACATCCCTGAACTGTTTTCAGTTCCCAGCACTGCATGTACATTGATTTCTTATAGTGTGATGCTAGGCTGCTCCTCACGCATCCCCATGTTCTGCTTCCTCCCTGCTCTCCCCAAACAGGTGCACCTCCATCCCTGAGGCATGTCCTGCTGTGACCAGTGTGTGCCATGCCGGCCCTGCGGCCCGACCCCTCTGGCCAGCAGCTGCAATGAGCCCTGTGTCAGGCAGTGCCAGAACTCCACCATCGTCATTGAGCCCTCTCCCGTGGTGGTGACCCTGCCCGGACCCATCCTCAGCTCCTTCCCGCAGAACACCGCCGTGGGCTCCTCCACCTCCGCTGCTGTTGGCAGCATCCTCAGCTCTGAGGGCGTGCCCATCACCTCGGGGGGCTTTGACCTCTCCTGCATTTCCAACCGCAGCTGTGGCAGAAGGTGCCCCCCCTGCTAAAGGTGCTGGACGCTGACCCAGACAAGGACCCCCGGAATGCTGAACATGGCACTGGACAGAAAAGGAGACGTGTTGCTGTTTTTACTCTGCAATACAGGCTCATAGTGAACAATGTGGCCACTCTGTTAACATGGAGAGAGTCTACTGATATACTTTGTTGCTCACTCTTCCTATCTGTTTTTTTTTTTGTTTTTTTTTGTTTTTTGTTTTTTGTTTTTTGTTTTTTGTTTTTTGTTTTTTTTGTCTTTTCCATTCAGAGATATCTGTTAGTACCCCCAAAAATGAACCCTGACTGGCTTCTCATCTCCCAGAGCAAAAACTCTGGGCTAGGAAGTATAGCTCTGTGGCAATGTAAAGGGGAATGAAGGGGAACAGATTCTTATCTGCTCCTGTTGCTCACAGCACACATGGCCTCTGCTTGGGGTGACATCATTTCTCTCCTCAGACTCATTAAACACTTTATGCATCCCTTAACGTTTCCTTCTCTGTTAGTGTTTGTTTGTTTGTTTTTTTCTTTTCTTTTTCCTTTTTTTCTTTTTTTTTTTTTTTTTTTTTTTCTTTTTTTCCCCATAAACAGAGAATGCTAAGGAAGAAAGGGATGTCTTTGATGGGAGCAAGCTAGGGAGATTCCATCAGTCCTCTGGATTTTGGAGGTCAGTGTACAGTGCAGACCATCATTTTTTCAAGCACACTCTCTTGAAGGAGAGGAAGACATTGCTAAATGCTCCTCCATCACCAGTGACCATCAGTCCCTGCCTTGCTGTGTTTCTCCTTACACAGGTCTCCCTGAACACTGAGTGCATCAAGTGAATGGAGACCTCCACAAATGACACCCACAAGAGGGGATCTCTGTGCACTGGGGATGCCCAGTGAAGACAGAAGTCCCACACGCTCTGGGGAAATCTATTCATCTTGCTTTGTGAGGAGCAGAGCTGGGGAATGAGACTCAGAGGAAGGTGTTCTCAAAGGCCATCAAGAACTGGGAAGGCATGGTTTTTCTTGGGGTTGGCCCTCTGTCTCTATTCCACTTTCCCACGTGTCTCGCTGCAATTTATAGGAGGGAGAGGAGGTTATTTCAATATCTGTACACCCAGTGTGAGATTAAGAAACAATGGTTCAAATGCTGGTCCTACCAGTTTATTACAAATCTTAATTAGGGAAATTCGGAAGGGGAGGATGGACATTATTATGAATTAGGGTAATGGGAAAGGGAAGGAGGGCGATAGAAAAGATTGGAAAGAAGAAGCACGTAGTCTATGTAGGCAGCAAGAGGGAGACAGTCACCACCATGGATCCAGCGAGGTTCGTAGTTCAGTCTTTGATCTTCAGTAGCGGTGGGTCATCAGGCATTGCTGTTCTGTTGACAACGATGACAACCATGGCAATGATGGCCCCCTTTCAATGGTTTCAAAGCGGTCGAGTCAGCTGTCTTTGGAGTGACAGCTCAAATCCAAAGTGGTTGAGTCAGCTCTCCTTGGAGTGGCAGCTTCTGGCTCTGGGATCTCAGCAGAAACTCCTTTGTTCCCACCTTCCTGGCCTTGCCAGCAGGTAAGAGGGAGCAGGGAGGCACCGACTTGTATCTTGCCTTCACAGGATACAATGGCATCATCCCCCAGCCTCCCATAACAAACTGGAGTTACTGGATCAAAGGCTACATTGTCCTGTCTTCCGAAGGCAAACAGCTAAAATTGTCCACACAGTGATGTTGATTGCCACACAACAGCACCCATCACTCATCTTCTCTACAAGTCAGTCTTATCACAAGAAATACCTCAGGAAGCAAGCTTGGAGCCAAAAAAAACAAAGAAGGATTCTCACACCATGCCTTCCACTCACCCATCACTGAAGATACAGCTTCCCTGTGTGGTCCTAGCAGCCTTCTGCAGAGCTAATGGCCCTGCCGTAATTTTGCCAAATTGCCTGTGGTCAAGGGCTTCCACAGGTCAGCATTGCTACCAGCTGCAGAAGGACACACATTGGAGCCTCCAATCCCTCTGAAGTCAATGCTCTCATGGGTGCAGGAAATCTCGGCATAGTGATTTACGCCCAAACACTCACAGCTTCTTGGTGTCATGTCTTCCCAAGCATGGAACTGCTCTCCTCAGGCTCAGGATCTGGAATACTCTCAAAGTGCCCCAATCCTACACTTCTCCACTGAAGACAATGTGTGAGCACGGATATTTCCAACTCCACTGGGGCATGGCAGTGAGAGTGTGACGTTTCTGCACTTAGCAAGACCTTTATACTTCCCCAGATCTTCATACTTCATGCAGTTCATGCACCAGCCCAAGCAAAGGACTCAAACTGGAGTGCCTTTCCCCAGGCACCAAGATCCTTTCACAGTCCCTGAGCCCTGGGGCTCAAATAGCCCCTGTACTCCATCCCTACACAAACACACCTGCAACTTCACAAATCAGCACAACCCGGGGATCTGTTTTGTGAGGGCTTTTCTTTCACACAGATTCTGTATGATGCCACCACCATGGCAATGGCATGGAGAATCTTTTCTACATGATATCAGGATGGCCCTCCTCTCCTCAGGCCAGCTGTTGTGTCAGGCAGTGCTGGTTCAGGTGGGACCACAGGACAAAGAGCATCAGAACCAAGTCCACCAATGTCCAATGTAACCATGAAGAGTAGCTCTGGCTTCTGCTGTTTGCTGGCCAACAGATGTGTGCAGTCACCCACTCCTCTCACACACATCCCACACTCGTTCTCATCCCTCAGACATTGCCATGGGATCTCAGCCTGCCAAATCTCCTCTCCCAGCCTTTGTGTTTCCTTATCCACCTCTCTCCCAGACTTGAATACTCTTTCCTCCCTGTCACTGGTTTAATCCTGATGTGCTGTGGATGTTGTTTTGGTTGCTGGCACCCAGATCTCTCCTGCACAGCAGTCTCAGCATCTACTGGCCTTGACCTTGAGGTGCTCCCACATGAGAAAGAGAGCACAGTTTCAGTGTTACACAAATAAGTCAGGACTTAATAATATGACAGGATTTGCTGTGTTGGTTAGGCACAGGGCTGTTCCCAGCAGGCGTACAGCATGGAATTTTTCGTCCTCCCTCCTCTGCAGTGCATCCCCTTCCTTCTCTCACTGCCAATTTTTCCACACTTTTGACCCTTTCCATAAGCATTCTCTTAAAATTTGGCACAGATACCACAGGCCCTTCCTGAGCATTGCTCATCTTTCTTTTCATCTTGTCACTTGTCACTTACAAAGCTCAAGCTCACTTCAAATTGGACAGCTGTGTTTCCCTAATGGCCCATCAGTTAGGAGCAGAAGACTTCTGATCTCCCTCCTTGCCTTCCTTTTTGCTTACAGATTGGGACATTCCTTGCTTTGTTTATCACTCTCCCTTTTATTTATAATTCCATTTCAACTGAGAAGGGACTTGAAAGCCCATTAAAGCCCTCACAGCCAACACACCTTATAGAGGCCTCTGCTGAATCTACAGCCACCTCCAGAGGCACTCAATCCCCTCACACAGTTTCATAGTCTGAAAACAGAGCTAATGTGGGACCACTTAGATGTGTCTGTGACCTCGACATGCCGTGTTCATGAGGGTGTGAAGCTGGAACGCCTTTCTCCGGAGGATGCCGAGCGGTGCGAGGGACGCGTTCCATATCAGCACTGCCAGCTCGGCGGCGCCGGGGGGGAGGAGCGGCAGCGCCCCCTGCGGGCCCGGACGGCACTGTGCCCCCGCCCCGCCCCAAGCGCTTCGTGCCCGGCCGCAGCCCCGGCTTCGCTTCCCGTGCGCCCACGGCGCAGTAATACAGCGCCGCGTCCCCGAGCCGGGGCCGGGCGAGACGCAGAATGCTGGAGCGGCGGTCTGCCGACACCCACAGCTGCCCCTCCGGGTCCGGCACCTCCTTGAAGCCTGTAACGGCGCTGACGAGGAATGTAGGGGCTCGGCCCGGGAGCTGACGGTACCATTGGATGTTATCGGCCTGTATGTTGGGGTGTGAGCAGGTGATGTTGATGCCGGTGCCCTCGCTGGTCTCTGCCGACGGCTCCTGCTGCACCTGAGCTCTGCTCACAGCCACTGCCGAGAAGAGAAGCAGCAGCAAACTCAGAAAATCCATTTTCTTCCGCAGAAATTTCATGAAGGAGGAGAGAGAGGTGCACAGGTTTGGAAACAAGCCGAATGTCCAGAGGCATTCGCGACCCCGGTCCCCCGCAGCCCCGCAGTGCGGCCCCGCCGGCGGCAGCCCCGCGCACCCAGGAGTACCGCGGCCAGCCCCGCCAGCCCCGCGGCCCGGCACTGCCGCATCCCGCCGCTCCACCGCCCGCACCGCCTCCTCCCCGCCGCCAGCTCCGCCAGCTCCACCCCGGGGCTGCGCCCTGCGCCGGCGGCACTCGGGCTTGCTGCGGGCTGCGAGCGCTGGGCGCCTGTGCGCGGCTGGTGGGGTTTGGTCTCTGCGCTTTAGCTGTAGAGGTGAGGAACGGCTGCGAAAGCTCTTTCAGTACAGGAGAAAGCAGTTTCTCTCCTGTAGCGTCTCCAGCGACATGGGCAGGAGGGAACGTAGGGAGGCAGGACTTGACGTGGAGAGCGACGCTTCTGAGCCCTTTCCATGGGCTGTACCCGGCGCTGCCGCAGATCCGAAATCCGGCATTGGGAACGGGTCGTGTGCTGCTGCCCGGGAGCGCGGCACCCCGAGAGCTCCCCGAGCCCCGGGTCCCGCAGCTGCTGCTGCCCGTGGTGCTGCTGTCGCCGCTCGAGGAGCCCGAGAAAGGCCGGCAGCGGCGCCGGGACGGGCGGCTGCGAAATTGGCGTTTCAGGCTTTGAATATGTGGGAAAAGCCGAGAGGGAGCCTGGAGCCAGTCTTCAAGGCGATCCAAAGCCATGCCCGCATCTCTGACGCATCCTCACTGTAAGACCTGTTTTGGGGAGGATTCAGCCAATCCATCCCCCCCCCCCCATCAGCTCTCAGACGGTCTGTGTGCAGTGAATCGACTCCAGCTGTACATGCTAACATCACTCTCGCCCTCGGCAGTATGCCTGGGTGGTTATGGGCATAAAACCTGACTCTGCCACACAGGGTTGGTGTTCAAGGACGACCCCTGTTCCATTAGACAGTCATGGACTCCTCAACTTGTAACAGCACGCAGCACACGGCAAGGACATCTTCGGTCTGACTCCACCATTTGACTCCAAAACCACTCTTGCTGTTCCCCCCAGTAACTGGTAATTTCTCCATCCAGCGTGCACAGGACAGAGTGAGATGGTGCAAGGTTAAGAGAAGATTCATGAGGGGGACAGGACAGTCTGTGGGGATCAATCACATGGCTCAACCAGATCTGAGGGGCCCTGCTGCTTGCCACTCTCATATGTTCACCCCTTTCCCTTTGTATCCTAACATGAGATAGTATAAGTCTGTCTCACACCAATCCCCATCCATGTCCTGATTCACAGCTGCATCCCTGGCAAAAACCAGGCTTGTCCTCCTGAAACCAGCCTGGTGGCTTCTTGATACCTCATCAGCTGGTGTGAACGGTGAGATTTATTTCTTTCCATCATTTCCATGCACTCCTTTGGCGTCTGCCTCTATATGCTTCTGATTTTCTCTCATCCTGTTCCATAAGATCCTGACATTAACTGTCCTCAATTTTTTCTCTGCCTCTGTACCCATGTACAGGATGCACTGAGGTTGCTCAGGTATGCTTTACCCTGTGCATAACCAGAATGTCTGCTGCTATTCACTGTGTTGTACTCCATGTATTTAACAGTGGCATCTGCAGACATTTCCTCTGACACACGGTAGGAAGGAATGCAGGGAATAGAGTTGTCATGTTGTTCCCTGGATCCTCGTCCTTCTGCTTATGAAGATGGCTGTGATTGCTGTGAATGGAAAACAGCTGACACGTTGTTTCCTGCATCCTTGGATAGACAAGCCTGCTCTGTTGAGCCTTGCTTTTAGCAAATGAGAAGCCTTCCCCTTATCCCTGAGTAACTGCAGTAATGGAATCAGCTGGAGTGCACCATGCCCAGCTGAGCTCTGTGTGCCGGAGGGCATAATGTTTTAAATAGAGTTCCATTATATGACAGGAAGATGGAGCTGTCTATGGAAAGGTTCTGACTTGGCTAAATCCCCTGGTTCTGTTTGATGCTGAAGTAAGATGGGGTTCCCACCACTAGAAGGGAGTTGCTATGTATTTGCTGTATGTAGACCTCATCCCATTTTTTTCTTACTAAATCCAACTTAATTTCACACTTTATTGATGTTCCTTTCTTTGGGGATCTGGAAAGTATCCTGAACAACTTCTGCTCCCATACTCTCATCCCCGGAGCAAAACAGGAGGAGGCAAAGGATTTCAGCAGAATTTTCCAGAGAGCAGTGTGAGCTGGGATAAGGTCACACCCAGGAGCTGAGCCACTTCTTGCCAGAAGGGCCCCAAGGAGTCCCTCAGAAGTGACTCAGCATGACATGGTTTGCCTTTGCTGGATTCTTCCAGGGCAGGAGGTGAATCTTTTGTCCAAATGGATTTGTATTGCCCAGAAGTGCTTGAGTCTCTGTTCTAGCCACTCATAGGATGCCTTCAGCAAGGACTGAACATAGCATAAAGCTGGAAATGAAACTGAACAGCACAGGAAATAAATGTGCTGTCTGTATCAGAAATGTTTTGCATTCGATTGGATTTCCTCAGAAAATATTATAGTTGTCTTTTCCCCTCAGAGATCTCTATTAGTGCCCTTCAAAACCAGCCTCAAGTGACCTTTTTGCCTCTCTACAATTCTTGGCATATACATTAAGGTCCTGTGCCAACGTTGCCATAGGAATGATTCTTGTCTGCTCCTGCTGCTCCCCACCCTCAGTGTCTACTCTTGGAGTGATTTTATTTCAAGAGCAGTGGCAAAAGCTAACTGGACATAGCAGTGGTTGTATCTGGAGAAGAGAAACAAGAAGATGTAATGTATGCAAAGGAACAGTTGAATCTGGCAACTGCCAAAGCGTTTGGTCTAGGCATGTTTTTTGAGGGAAAGATTTTCAAAGCATGGCAAGTGTGTGTTTCTCCCTGTGGGGAGATGTAAACTGATACTGAAATTCCCCTGCATTCCCCAGGCTTTGTGCACCTGCAGTCAGATCTCCTGCACTTCAGCCAAGCCTCAACAGTGCAGAAGGGCTGCTGCTGGGAGGTGTCAGGTGAGGATGCATTTGGGGGATGATGGCAGGGCTGGATTTGGACAGTGTTGCATGTGAGGGTGTCCCAGTCATGGCACTCTTCAGCACAGTGTCTTGCTTGGCCCAGTTGTTCCCTGGATGAAAGAATCCACAAGTTCCTTGGATTTCCTGCTATTTTCCACCCAGAAATCTGCAGTCACACCTTCAGCCAGGCCACTCCTGCATCCTTTTTTGTTAAAATAAATGGTGTGTCCACAGATCATCTCATTGTCTGTGAAATGCATGGAATTGGGGAACCACAGCATAGCCTGAGGTAGAACAGACAAACAGACAGAAGTCTGTGCCTCACCTTTCTCCACACAAGCTTAAAAGAATTCTTAACCACAGTTGTCTATTCTTTTATTCTTAACCACAGTCTCAATTCCAACACACTGTTATTTCAAGAAATCTCCTAAAAAACATGGGCTATGATGTGATGAAAGCACAAGTGGAGAATGCTTTCTGGTGAGTGAAAGTAGAGGGGGCAGGGAGAACTCTGAAGATGATGCCAATGTTAGAAGCTATAATGAAAAACAGAGCATTTTGGAAAATGAGGATCAGCGCAATCGAGTTCCTGTCCCAACGCCCAGGCTCTGAACAGACCCAGCAGCACAGGAGAAATGGACAATGATATTCCTAGCATTATGCAATATACTGTATACATAAATTGAAGAGCAAAACTGAGAAGACCAGACATTCAGAGATTCACAGATGACTGGGTGGCCAGCAGGGAAAAGGAGGTGATAGGTGATCGTCCCCCTCTACTCATCTCTTGTGAGGCCTCACCTGCAGTTCTGTGTCCAGGCCTCGAGGCTCCAGTACAGGAAGGACGTGGAGCTCTTAGAGTGGGTCCAGAGGAGGGTCACTAAGATGACCAGGGGGCTGGAGCACCTCTGCTATGAGGAAAGCTTGAGGGAATAGGGCTTGTTTAGCTTGGAGAAGAGAAGGCTCCAGGGAGACCTCATTATGGCCTTCCAGTACTTGTAGGGAGTATATAAACAGGAGGGGGATGCTTGTTTATGAGAGAGGTAGGACAAAGGGGAGAGAGGGGAGCTTTAGGTTAGATACTAGGAGGAAGTTTTTCACACAGAGGGTGATGATGCACTGGAACAGGTTGCCAAGGAGGCTGTGGATGCTCCATCCCTGCAGGCATTCAAGGCCAGGCTGGATGTGGCTCTGGGCAGCCTGGGCTGCTGGTTGGCAACCTGCACACAGCAGGGGGGTTGAACTTTGATGATTATTGTGGTCCTTTTCAACCCAGGTCATTCTATGATTCTATGAATCTATGATTCTACGACACTGTCTTTCACCTAGAAACAGTAATACTTCTCCTCATGACACACTAATTCTCCAGTTTGCAGAACAGTGATATACCAGATCTCCATGAAGATGAACTTACTAAGGAAGATATAGAATGTTATACTCAGGTGCCTTTCAATTCATACACTGACAAAGGAGAGGCCATTCCCGTCAAGATTACGAGAGGCATGGGAAAGGTAATGACAAACAGGACCACATGCCACCTGGGATGGTCAATGTAAGCTCAGAAGAATCATTTTGATCACTGACTCTGCCATGCCTCTACATTTTCTGGGTCATTGCAGTTTTGTCAAAGCCATTGCCTCAGACGCAGTGTCATCACATCCCTCCCACTGGTCTCACTATGTATCTATCTTAACCATTCTCTCCCTGTTGCTGCATTTTCTGACAAACAGCCCACAGAAAATAAATAATACAGCAATGCACTCACAAAAGCAGAGCCTCGCATGGAAACACAACTCACACATCTCACACACACACACAGTATCTCACACGCAACTCGGGTACATGTGTGCACTCGGCGCCCATGCTCATGCACAGCTGGAGAGGCAGGAGCAGAGGCCATATGGAGCTGACTGAGGAGACACTGGGGACCTTTCTGGAAGGGCAAGGCTGCAGTGCTCCGAGCAGGACAAGGCTCCAGATGAGCTGACATCACAGTTTGCAGATGTTCAGGGATGGCCC